TCCTAACAGCCGGTAGGCTGTTAGGAATTGTGGGAGTTGAAGTCCAAAACACCTGGAGAGCCCATGTTTGCCCAGGCCTGGGCTACAGTGCTATTTCCTCACATGTTTACTCTTTTATTTCTTGCTTTTTGTTCCTGTCGAACTTCAGAGCAATCACTGATAATTCTGGTAAAGTCCATGTGTCAAATGTGTCCGCTGCTCTTCGGTACTTTTTAGTTCCCCTGTGTGTTTATATTTCTGTCAACTCCATGCATTTAAAAGGGGGTTTTAAAGCCAAAGAATAACTAGATAAAGTACATATGTCTTGCTAGCTCTTTCTTCCAAAATATAACTTTTCCAGTACATACTGAACATCTCTTATTTCCAAATCCAAAATACAGACACTCCCCGAATTACAAACATTTGACTTACAAAGGACTCCTAGTTAAGAACAAGGGTGAGACAACAGGAAATGAGGGTCCTACCACACAGCCATATAACTGAGAATATCAAGGCAGATAATCCACAATATCTGCTTTGAACTGGATTATCTGAGTCCCCATTGACATATTTTCCAGATGTGTACAGTTCATAGTTTACTGGACTCCTTCCACATCTGAATAAAATCCCACATTATCTGCGTTGAACTGGGATATATGGCAGTGTGGATTCAAATTTTCCAGTTCGAAGCAGACATTGTGGGTTATTCTGCCTTTATACTCTCAGTTATATGGCTGTGTGGAAGAGCCCTGAGTGCCCTTCCAGACTGGCCCAATATCCCAGGATCTGCTCTCAGGTTTTCTGTTTTAAACTGGGTTATATGTGTCCGCATGCCAGATAATCTGGGATAAATCTACCCACCAGAAGGGAAATTCACTCCTGAAAGAGTTATCATGGGGAAAAGGTGTCTCCACTGAAGTTTTCTCACCATCCCTGTTTCCACAACAAGCCAATATATTTTTTAAAAAACCCCGCAATTATCACTGGGATGGAAAAGGAGGTAAATCTTCTTAACGGGCACAGACAGCAGAACAAAACCACATGGGTGTTCACCCTTCCCTGTTCTATGCAAAGCTAAAATGTGTATATATTTGACAGGAGTTACACTTGTGAAATGTACATATTCTAACTTACATACAAATTCAGCTTAAGAACAAACCTACAGAGCCTATCTTGTTTGTAACCTGGGTCTCCCTGAATTCCAAATTGGGCACTTGGGTGGTTGAAATAGTGACACCTTTGCTTTCTTAAAGTTACTAAAACATTGTGCTAGCTTACCTTCAGGCTGTGTGTATAAGGTGTATCTCCTGTCTAGAATTCAGTTCCTTCTCTGAGATTTCTTATTGTGTGTGCATATCCAAATATTCCAGAATGATAAATAATTAAAAATCCCAAACACTTCTAGTTTCCAACCATTTTGGATAAGAGGTAGTTGACATATAGAGGTCCTCAAAATAGTTTAGCTGAATAGATTTTGTAGAAAGCAAAGCAAATGTATAATTGTACCTCAGTTCTACAAACTGATATTGTTGGCAGAACTTGTAATTATTTTTAAACCATTTGCTCTTAATTGTAAAAGAGGTTTTCTCTCACAGCAGGTATTATTGTGTAGTAATTTTGCTGAGTATGCTTGTGAAAGTTGGACAACGAAGAAAGCTGATAGGAACATAACCAACTTATTTGAAATGTAATGCTGAATTCCATGGACTATTAAAATGGCAACTGAATGGGTCCTGGAGCAAATCATGTCTGAATTTTCCCTAGAGCACAAGAGGGCTAAATTGAGATGGTCATACTATGTGGGCATATCATGAGAAGGTATAAGTCACCAGAAAATACCATAATGCTTGGTATGCCAGAAGGCAGTAGGAAAAGAGGAAGACCATATTCCAGATGAATAGACTCAATTAAGGAAGCTGTATCCCTTACATTGTAAGACCTAAACAAAGTA